TCCCTCAAAAATTTCAGAGAGACCGGATGCACATGCAGCATTCACATGCGATGTATCAAAGCGAGCTCAGGTAGAAAAACTCAAAGAGTACTCGCGGGAACGATGGATACGCGCGCCCAACGTGATCGTCAATTGTGCCGGAATAACCCGTGATTCGATTCTCCTGAACATGACCGAAGAGCAGTTTGATGAGGTGATCGGCGTGAATCTCAAAGGCGTATATCTGGTCTGTTCCCAGTGCTCATTTTTAGTACCAAAAAACCTCCCCAGCTGAAGTGGTAAACCATCCTTGCGGAGTTTCAGCCTTCTGTCTTATCTGGTTTGCGAAGTCGTTTCCCGCCAAAGAAATTTGCATATTTTTTCCATAAACACTGCCACACGCTTACTCTCAATCTCTTTTCTTCCTGAGGTTTATGTCCTGTGCCCCCTTCCTGTTATCTCCATATTGCTCACCTTGCTGACAACCGGTGGACATTGAGTTTTAATGTATGCTGGCTAAGAGGAATTAAAACAATCCAGCTTCGGTGGATACATTCGAAGAAATAATGCGCACGTCGAGTAGGCCTAGCTGAAGGTATACTGCTTAGGATCGAAAGGCCTGGCATAGCTTTATTTGGTGTGTGCCGGAGTATTCCAGGAACAACATGGAACTCGTAAATCGGCGGCCTTTTGAGGGCTACATTATTTTTGGGCCGTAGTTGCTGTTTTAAATGTTCCATTTAGAAAGGTGAGATTTGAACAGCTAAAAAAATACCGAGCAAATAGGGAAGAATGAAAATGGTACAGGTTCTAACTGAAGAAAGAAGGGTTGCAGAGGTACAAAATCTAACTAAAGTAAGATTGCAAAGGCAAAAAAAGATGAAAAAAAAGCCAAAATCCCTAAAAGAAATTTGTAAAAAGTCGAAAAATTATGATCTGAAGAGAACCGTCTTACGATCATTTGGAACCTAAAAACACTAATTTCACTCTTACATCCGATTCTTTTACGTGTCACATTCAGGTCACAAAAGCACTAACAGAACTGGCCCTTGCTGATGAAGTTTCACAATCAATCATCAACATCTCTTCGATTGTTGGCAAATCTGGTCATTCCGGTCAAGCCAATTATGCTGCAACAAAGGTTTTTTTTCTTTTCATTTATCCACCTACAGAGCAGAACTTGCTTAGACTGAGAGAAAAGCACCTGGGAAACAAGTTACTACAATCTACAGCATTATGTATTATTATTATTATTATTATTATTATTATTATTAATATATTGCAAAGATAGAATGAAATCCTAAAATATAGTTTTTTTCAGCCAAGCAAATGATGCTTTTTACTATCCCACGTTAAATTCGCATAATCTAGCAGCACTTACATGGAAGACAGTGTATCTACCACATTCTTATACACTCGAAGCCGGTATGAGAACGTGGTGGATATAAAAAAAAAACCGGGGTTCATAATTCACCAGGAAAATACCAACCAAAGATTTATACAACAAAGTAAAACCAAATTATTATATAACAAAGTAAAATTCAACGGTGGCAGGTTTTGTCTCAGGAAAAGTTTAGCAAAAATTATTCAATGACAACATATTTTCTTGACCCACAACAATAACATTATTGTCTTCAAATTATGTTACATGTAATAACCGAAAAAAAACAAACAAAGCATAATACACAGTCATCAATAGAATAAAGGTAATGAAATTAGACGAAAAGAACTGGTGGTCCTTCTCCTCCGCCCTCCCGCAGGCTTAAGAATAAAGGGAGTTTGCACCATAAAATATCGCCTTACACATGACACCTGCGTACAATCCTGCTGGTCTATTATTTTATTACAGCAAAGCAAAAATAGCCATTTGCCAGAAAAATCTCGAGTTCTCCGAGTAAATTCCAACAACAGCAAATAGTTATTTTATAATTTCCTTTCTCTTTCAGGCAATCGAATTCAACTTTCCTCCTTTCCCCCTATTCAGTCCTTTCGAAACATGCAGATGGGAAACATTCGGGTGATTACCGAGGGAACAGGATAGAGAAGAGGAACGAGGGTACTAGTCAGGAGTTCGAGACGATAAATGATGACAGTGATGGTGATGGGTGCCCCGATGCGGCTTTTATACATTTCATTTATACTGACATGATATTTAGAACAGTTGTGCCCAACTTTTGCGTATACCGTCGTAACATGAACTAGCATGGTAATATCACACCATCAATTTTGATAATCTCTGTATTGTTGCATAGACTTTATTAGACAATACGATTATCTCAATGCTTCCACGCATACAATGCCTGTTGATGTTTGCATGCCACCCAGAAACAACCATCGCAAAAATTCCATGCGTAAGCCTGAGCATAAGTATATAACTGCATCATAAAAAAATCGTACAGACACACATACACACCTCGACAATATGCGTTTTTGCATTGCACAGATGCAAAAAAAGGCATAATAAAATCAAA